ATATATATTTACTATTATATATATATATATATATATACATATATATATGTATGTATATATATGTGTGTGTCTGTGTCTGTGTCCGTGTATATAATGTATATGTATATTTGTGTATGCCTGTGTGCATGTATGTATATATATGTGTCAATACATAATTGTAGCTACTTGTTTCATGTGTATATATGCAAGTGTATATACAAGCTTTTTGTTCCACATGCATGTATACAAATTTATACATATCATATCTGTGTCTGTGTCTGTGTCTGTGCCTGTATATATATATGTGTGTCTGTGTCCATATATGTATATGTATATATATTAAATATATAATTGTAGTTACTTGTTTCATGTGTACATATAAGTTTTTTGTTATACATATATATAGAACAAATCTATATATATCATTTGTATAAATATATATATATGTGTGTGTGTGGGTGTGTGGTATGTATATGTATATGTGTATGTATGTATGTATGTATATATTTTTGTATGTCTATATGTATATATACATAGGTATATTATCTGTGTGTGTGTGTGGGTGTGCCTGTTGTATTCCCCCTACCTTAGTACCCCCTCCTGGATAAAGATACTCAGCAGCTGGTATGATCTAAACCAAAGCTTTGTATCTTCTTGCGTAGCATGCAAATAGTGATATTTGGTCGACTGGTCGATAACCATTGCCTTCCTCTGTACTCACTTTATACTGAACCTCGGTCCTATTGATTTGGCTTAGGCCATGCGCCGGGAAAACAACCGGGATGGCTCGCCTGTCCATATTTCTCAATGAAAGGGGCTTTGCCGTCTTCACTGTCCCGGAGACTGCGACGATCTGCTGGTAAGCACACGTTCGTACACACAGTCTCATTCATATACTTACTCACAGTCTCATTCATATACCTACTCACAGTCTCATTCATATACCTACCCACAGTCTCATTCATCTACATACTCACAGTCTAATTCATATACCTACTCACAGTCTCATTCATATACCTACTCACAATCTCATTCATATACCTACTCACAGTCTTATTCATATACCTACTCACAGTCTCATTCATATTCCTACTCCCAGTCTCATTCATATACCTACTCTCAGTCTCATTCATATACCTACTCACAGTATCATTCATATACCTACTCACAGTCTCATTCATATACCTACTCACATTCTCATTCACATACCTACTCACAGTCTCATTCATATACCTACTCACAGTCTCATTCATATACCTACCCACAGTCTCATTCATATACCTACTCACAGTCTCATCCATATACCTACTCATAGTCTCATTCATATACCTACTCACAGTCTCATTCATATACTAACTCACAATCTCATTCATATACCTACTCACAGTCTCATTCATATGTGTGAGGTGATTGGTGTGATCTGTTCTTACACTCAGTTCCATGCGTCTGAGGTGAGTTGTCGAATCCTCTCCAATTCGCATGAAAGGTGTTCTACAGCATACTTTGTTAATGCTCTCTCTCTCTATCTCCCGCGGATATTAGGGTTTCAGGGTTTTAGTGGTGGTGTTCAATATCTGAGAGTGATCGTCTAGGGGCATAGTAGATTGTAATAAAATTATGGTTCTAAGTAGATGACGTCTCCCACCCTTTGTTAAGGCTTTCTCTCTTGTTCTATATCTGAGAGTGATCGTCTGTCTCATATCTCATTCGCTAGGTCTAACGGGGCAACTCAATTTGACGAAACCACGACAGATCAACAGAAGTTCAACTTTCAAGCTGCTCTGATGCAAATGGCCATGTGTCTAGAAGACACGTTCTATAAGGTTTGTGATCGTTCTTACAAATGGAAATGAGATGTGTATATGTCCTCGATAGGACGTTCGCATGCCTTTGTATGTATTCGATTTGTTGGGATGTGAAGACTTGCTGCGCTTACATTGCATGTCAGGATGTAGCTTAGCAACAAGATCATTTACATTGCATGCTCCGTCGTATCTCATTGCAGCTTGCGCGCAATGGCAACAAACCCGCTGTGCTGCTGTGTGACCGTGGGCTGATGGACGGATCCGCATACATCTCAGAGATGTTGTGGAAGAACGTGTTGCAGAAGTTCGGGTATGTTGGTTGGTTATCATAGATGGTTTATGCCCAGACCAATGAATGCTATATGGAAATATGTGGTTTGTGTCTTTACATCCAGACCAATGTATGTTATATGCACATATCTACCTATCCCACAAATGCGGGTTCGTTGGTGGGTGTATGCCAATGCCTTAGGCTACAGTCTATTGGAGCGAGCTTTTAAATCAACTACCGCGTGCGTGGCTGTGGGGGAATCTGAGTGTCTAAGTGTGTGTGATGTGCTGGTCCAGTATAGCCCTGCCGCCGATTCTGTGGTGTTCTGTGTAGTGTACGTAACACAGCATAGCGCACTATCTGTGAAGGTGCTCTGCGGCCATTCACGCAGTGTCTCTCATTTGTACTGTGGGCTGTAGGTACAACAATGTGATGCTGAGGGACGAGAGATACGATCTGATCTTCTACTTGGTCACTGCTGCGGATGGCGCTGAGGCCCACTACACACTCGAGAACAACATGACACGCACAGAGGGTCTGGTTGCCGCGAAAGAGCTGGACACAAAGCTGCAACACGCGTGGATAGGACACCCTCACCTGCACATCTTTGACAACAGGTGTGTGTGTGTGTGTGTGTGTGTCGGACATGCTCATCTTGATTGTTACGGCTGGACGTTTGGGTTTAACGTTGAAACGGATGTACAGATGTGCTGTAAGCGATGCCGAAACCAACGCAACTGTATGAATGGAATAGGCGTCCGTGACGACGAAAGTCGCCCTTGACTGTTTTCAAGTTGTACTCAAAGATAGCTTCATATGCACATGTTATCTATCCCAATTGCTGTAAGTGTTGTACACTAACATAGCTTCATATACACATATCATCTATTCCAATCGCTGTGACTCTCTCGCATTCATATGATTTTCTCATCACTGGCTATGCGTCTATTGGCGTTTTACTAATTGATCGTCGATCTAACACGCACTATACGACCGTCTCCAACCACCACACAACTCAACCCAACACAACAGCACAGACTTTGAGGGCAAAATGAGACGCATAATCAATGCCGCGTCACTGGCGCTAGGGTTACCCACGACCAAGCGAAGTGCCAGGAAGTTCAAACTCAAGGGGCCCCCCGACTGGAACAGCCTCAATGTCAAGCATGAAACCTTCGATGTAAGTGGCAGATGCATGGCACGTGTGGTTGTGTGTTGCGCATGAGACCTTCGATGTAAGTGGCAGATGTATTGGCACGTGCGCTTATACTTGTCAGCATGTGCTCGTTTGTTTGTGTACGTAGGTGTCTCCTCTCGTCCCGTTAAAAGTGCCTGTTGTCCGCAAGCCGTTAGCTTCACTGTGCCAACTACAAGAGTCCTATGCCTATCAAAGCGTTCTTCATAGGATTGATATTGATCTGTCGCATATCCGACAATTTTCGTTTATTATCGCTCTGTCCATCACTTGAGTCCTACCGAATCTCACTCCTGTTCACTCATTCCCCACCCCATACACACACACACACTGCGTTGCTAGGTAACCAAAGTGTATCTCAGAGGGTCTCTAATGCGCCCGGACAGCCGAGCTGAGTCGATGGTCGATGTCCGTTCCGAGAGTGCGGGAAAACTGGAAGCGTCTGAGCGAGTGCTGTACTCGTTTGTACGCCGGCGCACAACGGGGCACAAGTCATCGTACAACAAAACAACCATGATCGAACTCAATGAAGTCATTGTAAGTGGAGCGCTGCAATGCAATACGTGGTTGTAAGTGGAGCGCTGCAATGCAATACGTGGTTGTAAGTGGAGCGCTGCAATGCAATAAGTGGTTGTAAGTGGAGCGCTGCAATGCAATACGTGGTTGTAAGTGGAGCGCCGCAATGCAATACGTGGTTGTAAGTGTCGGTAATACGTGGTTGTAGTTGTGCTGTGGGATGAATGAGCATACGTACAGTTGTGGTGTGATAGATGACTTGCTTGGTCAGTCAATACTCGTGTTGTTGATGCAACAGCACATACAGCTCCGTGCAACAGCGACTTCACGTTGGTGTTACAAAGTAGCCATCCCTTGACACGCTCTCCATACCGTGGCATGTAAAACCCTAAAACCCTAAAACCCGTCGCATGCACAGGATGGCAAGATAAAGACCCGCACGTTCGAAAGGAAATTGATTATGACATCGCGTCAGTACAACGATGCCATTGTGATGGCCGATCCCGATCGCAATCAGGTACGTTTCCAAACCTCTCCTCTGAAAGTGCTGGTAGAATCGGAATTTGGATTCGATCTGGATTCGGATTTAGACTGCACGACTGCTTCGCCGCTCCTAGATTTTCCCCATCGACCGTCTTGCCCACAAAGCTAGGCGGAATTGTTCGGTTTGTGGAGGGGTGTTGTTGTGGCATGGATGTGTCACCCTCTGGTTATGACATGTGTCACATGGGCCGGTCGCTGTCGCCCGCGCCTTCCATTGTCCCGCCCATGTGTGACTATAGTGGTACATACATGGTCGATTCCTCGGGATGGATATATCGCCACATATTGTAATGTATACTGTTCTCTCCACATGTGTAGCGTGCATCATTTTAGTATATACATCAGGCACTTCGTCGTGTGCTATTGGATGTGATATTGAATATCGCGATTTTCTCCACACTCCACCTACAGCTGCTGCAAAAACGAACGTCCTTTCTGCACGAGGGATCGTACCTGACTGTTGTGGAGTACATGAACGTAAAACCTGGTCTATGCATCCTACGTGTACAGGTAAGGTTCCCTGGCTGGATACTATATTTGTTTTATGTCAATTCTTTTCACATGGTATATATATATATAATTATATACGCATTCTATGTGTGCAAGCAAGGTTTCCTGGCTGGATGCTATATTTGTTTTATAATAATGCTTTTCACATGATTTATTCATATATATATATAGATGCATCCTATATGTGCAGGTAAGGTTCCCTGTCTGGATGTTCTTTTGTTTATATTGACTCTTCTTTTTATTGGAGTGGCTGGTGAGGTCCAATAGGCGCTATATATCGAGAGAGCCAATTTCACTTCACGACCCCGTAGGGGTTAGACATATTGTAGCTACTGATTAATTCTTATTGTAACTACTGATTAATTGTTAATCTGGTTTTAGTAGTAGTGGGTCTTGCTGATTGAGTGTTAGGCTAGTTTTAGTAGTAATTGGCTTAAAGCCCCCGATGTTTCACCATTGTACTGCACCACACCACTTGCATTGGTTTAGTAGAGATATTTTGATTGGTGCAGAGAAGTGGCCCCTGTGCATAATCCCCGCACGCACGAGCACACGAGTACGCAGTGACATGCCACTTGTGGTGTACGTTAGCATACTATTTGTTATGAATGTTAGTATGTTATTTGTTATGTACGTTAGCATGTTATTTCTTATGTACGTAGAACTCGACTAGTGTCTGCAGGTATCGTCTGGTGTTATTACACAGAAGGGGTGAGTGCACCATACTCATCACTGCAGCACTGTCTCCTTTGCTAATGCTACTCGTTTCCCTCGAGCTTTCGCCCATCCTATGGGTTCGGACACACCGGTTGTAGGGGAATGAGTATGGGACACTACAAAAGTCAAGTAATAATGGATCACATATTATTGCTTTATCAACTTCCATTCACATACATTCACATACATTTATACACAGGAGAGCAAAGATGATGAGGATGCGTTCAACATGCCCTCTTTCTTGGACGTTGAGCAAGAAGTGGGCAATGTGAAGGAATACAGCGCATACTACCTGTCCGTTCTGGGCCGCAGCTGAAGTGTTTGGAGTTTAGGTTTAGGGTTTATGGTTGAAGAAGCAGTGCAGTGCAGCACAACCCCTCTCGAGGCTTAATGTGTGACACGTAAAAAGCCTAAACCCCTAAACCCCTAAACCCCTAAAACGTACACATATATAGGCCACATACAAATATAGTTAGAATGAATTAGAACCAGCCGCCAAGTGGCGTTTAAATGCTAGTCAGTCTCTTGGTAGGGTTAGGACTTGGGCAAGGAGGGCGGTTGATTACCTACCGACGCGGTGGCACAGTTCCTCATGGTATAATACGCCGGCTCTTCGTCGCTTGGGAATATATTGGTAGCCCTTTCTAGACCTTGCATACATTCTCTAGTTAGAAAATAGAACCAAAATAAAAACAGAGGTGCACTCCAGTGTAAATCAGTGGACTGCACCTAGCCGTAAAAAAGGACTTTGGGTCAAAAGATATTTGAAATCAAAGCGTGCGTAATCGTATTCAGTAAGCCCGTGGAAGGATTGAATGATAAATAAATGGAACTGGGGTACAATACGAATACACTTACAAGCGCAAACCTGTAAATGATAAATAAATGTAACTGCTACGAATAAGCAAGCACATGATACAATACGAATACACTCACAAGTGCAAACCAGTAAATGATAAATAAATGGAACTGCTACGAATAAACAAGCGCATGGTACAATACGAATACACTTACAAGTGCAAACCAGTAAATGATCAATAAATGGAACTGCTACGAATAAACAAGCGCATGGTACAATACCAATACACTTACAAGTGCAACCCAGTAAATGATCAATAAATGGAACTGCTACGAATAAGCAAGCGCGTGGTACAGCGTGTCCGATGCGAATGCACTTCAAATGTGAAACCGTAAATCAAAGTGTAATCCGATATATGGGACAGCCTGAGGTCGACAGTTTATGAGCACAAAATTTTACACTGGAGCGGACACTTGGAATGTATAGGTGTGGTTGACTTGGAATGTATAGGTCTGGTTCATTTGAAATGTATAGGTCTGGTTCATTTGAAATGTATAGGTCTGGTTCATTTGAAATGTGTAGGTCTGGTTCATTTGAATTGCATAGGTCTGGTTCATTTGAAATGTATAGGTCTGGTTCATTTGAAATGTGCAGGTCTGGTTCATTTGGAATGTATAGGTCTGGTTCATTTGAATTGCATAGGTCTGGTTCATTTGAAATGTATAGGTCTGGTTCATTTGAAATGTATAGGTCTGGTTCATTTGAAATGTATAGGTCTGATTCATTTGAAATGTATAGGTCTGGTTCATTTGAAATGTAT